GAAACCTTTCATTAATTTTTTGCAGTCGCAGCCATACCTCCCAATATTTTGGATATCTAAGTTCTTCATCAAATTGACGTCGTCTACAAGATGAATCTGATTGTAGTCGGTTTCCGCATAAGGCCATCATGACGTGCGCACAACAGTGTAACAGCGAACACACTCCTTTATTTTCCCGCAGTTTTCAAAATTTTGTTAGCGTCGCGAAAGCTACACCTTTGACCTCAAACCTAGGCGGACTGCATCATTACGGAAGACCTTCCGGCGTCGATCTCCACGCAAGCATATAATTTCAGTTTAGTGCTAACGCTCCTACTTACAATTTATGAGTAGGTTAATAATTTACAGGTTTCATATCAGTCGCTCTACCCATTGGCCTCAGCCCAAGGCTCAGCTCCAGAAATAGACGGAATTTCATGATTACCTATTTTTTAATCCACTGGCACACAATTTGTGTCAGCGTACCATTTGTGCACTTCCAGGTATTCCATCTTTCTGCGCTGTATTTATCGAGATCCCATAGTTCCCACTGTTTGAACCGAAGGTATGGAATTCTACCAGGTATTGCGAGTGGCCATATCCCTTGGATTAATTTTGTGGATTAGTTTCTAAGAGCCAGTGCGTTAAATAGTCCTGGTTACTGTTCAATAGAAGACAATAACTCATTTACTGTTGCACGGAATCTGCAAAATGAGGATAAAACTGAATAGACAAATTTTTCGCAATACCGGTGGATCGGATTTACTATTCAGTCGTTCATTTGTTCGCCGATCTTGGCAATCTGGTTGCAGATCTTTCGTCACCGATCAATGTGACTTCATCCGGGCAGATTCGGTTCTAATTTGGTCGCAGAAATTCGTACCAACCAAATCCAAGCATGTTGCGAAATTGCCAATCTCGGGGAACGAACGACTGAAAGAGCACCACTCACCTAACAGCTGTAGGCCACTTTATCCTCATAGAATACTTGTAGCAACGTGTGTATGCTTTTGGTAAAGGATAATAACGCAGTATCATAAGTTATTACAAAGAGTAGACAGTTATCTCCACACCTTAGTTACCGATGCGCATTAATTCTAATATAATTATATTTCAGAAACGTAAAACATTTGGTCCCCTTCAGCCACTTGATCAAAGCAGAAAGAAGGCACAGATTGCGATATGTCAACATTTCGACTGGCAGTGCTATGTGCACAGAAACTCTTGAGACAATCAATCCGATTGCCTTGGACTTGATTCTGAAGCTTTGATTGCTTTGCCAATTTTTCCCATGTATATAATTGTGTATGTTTTTCTGCTTGTATTGTGTATGCGACTGAGGAGAACAATCAACTGAGGAGAACAATCGAAATGTTAACATATCGCAATTTGTTCATTCTTTATGCTTTAATAATTATATTTCTCGTGGTCCCGAGATACCGAGCCCACAAAGGGACAGATCATATTTACATTGCAAAATGTTCAGACATGTGAGGTTATCAATGGTTTGAGTTTTTACAGGGTTAGGAGATGGATGCTTTGGTGAATACTTTTAGTTGGGACTTGTATCGCTGTATGGTTCCAGTTCGTGAGCATTCTCAATTGGTTGTTTTCGGTGCAGCTTGGTAGTGCCATGATGGCGGCGGTTTGATGGGGCGAGGGAAGGAGTATGAAAATGATGAAGCAGTTAGAGTCACCAACCGAAATCAGCTGAGGAATACACAATCTTACTTAATAGACTAGAGCAATACAGTTGTAGCTATTTTTGAGTGGCAATTTAAGGAGTTGCGAACAATAAAAAAGACTACATTAAGGTAACTCTAGTGGATCATCAAACTCATGTTGCTTTAACAGAATAATTTAGACAGTCTTCGCATCATATGGAGTTAAGGTATAGCATGGTGTCTAGACATTCCTAGGTCTAATTATGAATTGACCTAATCAAAATGTGTTTTTTGGCTGCCAGATGGTTGAGATGCTGTCTGAGCTCAGTTGCATTGCTTTCAGCCTTGAATTGTAGGTGGATATTTAGGGCGTGCATGACTGTGCACGGTGAACGTAATGTTGAACATGGACAATTGTAGGCAAAGAAATAACCGTCTATTTACTGTAAAGTCTGGACTTATTCAGTGGATCGTAGTCTTGTAGACGATAACAAAGACAAGGTGATTAGGAAATTGTGTATTAGTTAACCAATTTTTGGCATAGGGATAGAGACGAAAGGCACCAAAGCTACGATCAAGGATATGGTCTAAGGAGTAAGTTAATGGGAAATGACGGTAAGACATTAGGACGGTAGAGATGAACTAACTAGGCACCAGGAGCACAACAGATTCAATGCAAAATGAAGTAGGGTAAGAAATAACAATTGAAGTAAAAGGTCATCCGTGGAACTAACTCCCAGGGACCTGCTTCTATGCGGGGTAATCCCTCGAGTGGTTTCACCCGCACCTCCGCGCCCCATCTGGTCATGTGTCGGTGTGGCTTAAAAACATGCTGGCCACTACCGATTTTATGCATC